ACATAGGAGTAGTGATATATCTATATGAACCCCTGACCTAGGACTAGAGATATATCTATGTAAACCCCTGACCTAGGAGTAGTGATATATCTATTTGAACCCTGGCATATGAGTAGAGATATATCTATGTGAACCCCTGACCTAGAAGTAGTGATATATCTATTTGAACCCTGGCATAGGACTAGAGATATATCTATGTAAACCCTTGACCTAGGAGTAGGGATATATCTATTTGAACCCCTGACCTAGGAGTAGTGATATATCTATATGAACCCTGACCTAGGAGTAGTGATATATCTATGTGAATCCCTGACATAGGAGTAGAGATATATCTATGTGAACACCTGACCTAGAAGTAGTGATATATCTATGTGAATCCCTGACCTAGGAGTAGAGATATATCTATGTGAACCCCTGACCTAGGAGTAGAGATATATCTATGTGAACCACTGACATAGGAGTAGAGATATATCTATGTGAACCACTGACATAGGAGTAGAGATATATCTATGTGAACCCCTGACCTAGGAGTAGGGATATATCTGTGGTAGCCGCTGCTCCAGCAGTTTAATATTGAAACTTGATATTTACTCGAAACGAAAGAGTAAATGATAAATGACCTTTGACTTTATTTTAATCACGATCGAAAGTGCGACATATTATTGTTATAAAATATGTTCCTGTCAATGTTTTCGATTTGTTTCTTAGTCGCCTGTGATACAAGGTCTACCCACGACAACCTCAATTCACGAAGACACGACGGGGGAGACAACTCTCTATGAATTCCAGACATCGGATGCTGAAAGCGATTCCGTCGCATGTTCGCTTCCAATAACCTCACCTTTTTATATAAAAAAAGAGACTGCAAGTATGTTGTCATCCACTGAGGAAAGTAGTGCACTTCCCTTTCTTCTGTTAAGTCTGGTTAATCTACGATTGTCAAAAAAAGTTTGTTTTCAAACGGACTTTGATTTTGATATAGATATAGAAGACAAAGATATCAAACTATAAAAATGTAGAAACCCCGCAATATTTTTTTTTCCTTCTGTTATACAGGCCATTTCGTGTGTTACAAGGGAAGCCCGGCCTTGTCTTACAGTACTCAATCGTCATACACGCTGTCTGTCCTGTGTACGGATGGATTCACAAACGTATCAAGCACCGTAAATATCCTGGTAGTACAGAACCAGCCACCTGCCTTCACCAATCTCCCAGGTACGTCATACAGGCGGTTCTACGGAACCAGCCCCGCGCCTTGACCAACCTCACAGGTAGGTCGTGCAGATGGTTCTACAGAGCCAGCCCCGCGCCTTCACCAATCTTCTAGGTACGTCATACAAGTAGAATTATAGAACTAGTCCCCAGCCTTCAGGTACCCCACAGATACGTTATACAGTTAGTATTACAGAACCAGTCCCCAGCCTTCAGGTACCCCACAGATACGTTATACAGGTAGTACTACAGAACCAGTCAACAGCCTTCAGGAACCCCACAGATACGTTATACAGTTAGTATTACAGAACCAGTCCCCAGCCTTCAGGTACCCCACAGATACGTTATACAGGCAGTACTACAGAACCAGTCCCCGGCATTCAGGTACCTCACAGATACGTTATACAGGTAGTACTACAGAACCAGCCCCCAGCATTCAGGTAACCCACATATATGTTATACAGGTAGTACTACAGAACCAGTCCCCAGCTTTCAGGTACCACACAGATACGTTATACAGGTAGTACTACAGAACCAGTCACCAGCCTTCAGGAACCCCACAGATACGTTATACAGTTAGTATTACAGAACCAGTCCCCAGCCTTCAGGTACCCCACAGATACGTTATACAGGCAGTACTACAGAACCAGTCCCCAGCATTCAGGTACCTCACAGATACGTTATACAGGTAGTACTACAGAACCAGTCTCCAGCCTTCAGGTAACCCACATATATGTTATACAGGTAGTACTACAGAACCAGTCTCCAGCCTTCAGGTACCACACAGATACGTTATACAGGTAGTACTACAGAACCAGTCTCCAGTCTTCAGGTACCCCACAGATACGTTATACAGGTAGTACTACAGAACCAGTCTCCAGTCTTCAGGTACCCCACAGATACGTTATACAGGTAGTTTTACAGAACCAGTCCCCAGTCTTCAGTAATTTCACTGGTAAGTCATACAGCAGCACAACAGAGATCGAAAAGCACAATAGGGAAATTGAAACAAATGGCCAACAGTCTGTTAAAAGCAATAAATTTGAATATTGTTGAGAAAAATATAATGAGTGCCTTATATTAAGACCAACTATACTTTCCATGAAGCTGGGCGAGTTTGGAATGGATGTTTTCAAAAGTCCGATACGAGTTTTATAAAATTGACCCATTGAATGGGAAAAACATTCTTATTTGGAAACAAATCTTGCTCGTTTCCAACGTATAGTCATTGTGTCTCTCGATATTTTGAATTATTCAAGAATAACATCTTAATCTTTATATCTGTTATAATATCTTCACCATCAGTTGTTGTGTACAGTCAGCAATACTTATATAGTGATACATGGCGTGTGTCGTTGATGAAGCAGAAGACGCTTACTCTTCAGGAACACCTTGTCTTATTAAATAACACTTGGTCTTATTCTCCTGGAACTTTTTCAGGAATCTCCGTGTAAATCTTGATTTTCTTCATATTTTGCCCTACTTTTATGGAAGTTGAATTTGGATTATAATTGTGTTGCCTTGTTGGTATTTTCTTGATTTTTTAAAAAAAACATTTATACACCCTGACAAGTCCCAGAAGAAGAAAACAGTTGTTTAGTGTTGTTGAATTTATTATCTGGATATCCTTAATCTAACTCTAATTTTGTATCGAATATGTTGCACACTCAGGTCTCTTTCTTATTTTCTTTTTAGGAGCTGTAACTGTTTCTGCAAAAAACACCGCGTCATCAGTTTCTGTGTTCACCGTCACGGTTTCCGATCCAGATGATAACTACACGAGCATCAGTATGACCTGTTCTTCATGTCCTTTCACGTTGTACCCAGGTAGGTACTTTCGTACATTACAAACCACTTTGTCAGGTATCATGGACAATGCCCGTGTTATTACTTGCTATGTTCCAAGGTCAGAGATGTCTCCAAATCATCGTCCGTGAATATATCTGAAGATTAGCCTCGTCTGGAATGTCTGTGACAGTTTTCTTTGTTGGAATGATAAATTGATGCAACATTTTGGGAACAGTGACATGATATGCCTTATTTACAAAGAAGTATTGTTGTACAGCTGTTAATTAACCGGTATCCGGTATTCCATGATATTATGAACATCTCTCTCATTACATGTGGTAAGCGGCTGATTATCAAACCCTTTAAAGATATGTTTCTTCTCAGAGGATATTGAATAGATCAACACCGGTTTGCTACTTTCATTTTAACACTTGGGATCTGTTCTGTTCGTTTCTTACCTGTTTACACTTGTTTGGGAAGATGCGTCTGCACACGGCACTAGTTATTGCAAGGACAAACCCCCCCTCCCCCACCCCCTAACCCCCCCCCCCCCCCCCCAAAAAAAAAAAAAAAAAAAAAAAAAAAAAAACAAAAAAAAAAAAAAACAAAAAAAAAAAAAAAAAACAAAGGACAACGGTCAGTGAGAAATGTTCAGAAGAATATTGCCATCGTATGTTGTAGTTTAAGGAAAGTTTTGATTGCTGTATTATTTCTTATATTACAAATAATTCTACAGTATATTGCTGATGATTAAGTAATTGAATTAATGAATTAATAACATCAATATCTGGACTCTACTTCGATAAGATAAGATAACTACAGGTTTCTAAGTTTGAAGTAGAATACAACAACAACAAAAAAACAAACTAATATCCAAGTTAATATTTCATAATTAGCTAAGTTTAAACAGAGCACAAGTCTTTTAAAGTTTCTTTTTCGTTTCATTAAGACGTATTTCTAATCCTCTCTGTCAAATCTGTGGCCATGTAAAATATGGAGCACAAACACTCACTGCTTGCCAAAGAAATGCTTGTTTCAATCAGGATAATTTTTTGTCTGCTAACAAAGTCTGTCTAATGTCCCGGATGTGTTGATAATTTTGTTATTTGTTTTGTTTATTGGTTTATCAGAGTATTGTTCTTCGTGTTTATTGTGCAATACGACCAAGGAAAAACAATGTATTATGAAGTTTACCTCAAGTACCATGTGACCATTTGTTTTCAGACGGCCGTGTTGTGACAAGTAAAATCCTAAGGGATGAGGCTGTGGCGTCATTTGTACTGTCCATTTCTCTATCAGATACCAAGGTTTCGGTAGGACCAGCACTTTTAACAGTCATACTCACTGGTAGGTGTTCCAATCTGTAAGAAATAATAACATACATTTTATATCCAAGTCATCCTTGACATGTGTGTAAGAAACAACTGACTTCCTCACCGTTCAAACCATTTGTTGACTACCTTATCGGTAAAACAAAGAAAATATACATGTGTGTAATCTGGAAATACATCCACTTCGAAGACTTTTACACGTGCTTCTGTTAGATTACACGTGCTTCTGTTAGATTACACGTGCTTCTGTTAAATTACACGTGCTTCTGTTAGATTACACGTGCTTCTGTTAGGTCATGTATTGACGCTCGTGTTAGTCCTAGAGGTAATATTTTGTATATTTAATGATTTTTGTCTATATCTTTTCTTCAAAAAGTTTATTTTGAGTTTCTTAATCAAAACAATAATTGACATGATTTAAAAAATATTTTCTCCATATAAACCATTCACAGATTTCCTACACAAATCTCTCATTATTCAACAGATCACAATTCTGCGCCGTCCTTTTCAAATCTACCGACGACACTCTATATTCCGGAGACAACACCACTCGGAAGTAGCATCTATAAGCTTTCATTTACTGACCCGGATGTAAATGATACTCTAGGTGTCGCCACAGGTGCAATACAACCTGTATCTGGTGGCAGTCTATTTGAATTCAATACATCAGGTGGGTCTGAAGCTTAGCTACTGTTGATACTGTGAATCTGTGGCTACCTCAGAATACCAGATACAAGTTAGTATTATTTGTAGTCCTCTCCGATTCACGCAAGGTAAATTTATTTTTCTGCTATTATAAATATGGAGTAGATTTGCGTCGAAGTTTTCATACACCGAAAACTGGTAATCCTACACTTAAGGTATGTTTGTAGTCTTGTCCCTTTCACAAATGTTTGGTATAAAGCCCTGCCTCCTACAGATGTGGAAGATCATTAGCTTCGCTTCAAAGATATTTGTCAGGCAAGACCCGAAAACAAGGGTAGGTATTTACATCCAAGCTACATTCATAAATCTGTTTATTTCTCATTAAAGTAATTATTCGATCAAATTATGCCCAAATTGTTGTAGAATTCAAACATTTGACTTTTTATTCCGAGTTTTTTTTATTTCTCTTAAAAATAATAATGTTTTCACTTCTTTGTCTTCTTTGTTGCTTGTTCAAAACCAAATGTTAAAACTAGGTTCCTTTGGCGAATTTTGAAAACGTGCAATAAATAATTTGGATAATCTTTGGAATGCGATCCAACTGAAAGATCACGCTTGGTGTCTCCGTAATATCTAAATTTATCTTATGAATGTCGTTACTGTATGAACCTCAAAACCTGTTGTTTTATCGTCTGTATAGAAGAACAAGGATTTATGTAAATGAATAAGCATGCCGTTAACTTTCGTTTTAGATGGTTCTTTGTACGTAAGATCCACAGCCACACTAGACTATGAGTACCTCACAGTCAAAAACTACACCATCAGTTACGTTGTTGATGATGGAATTTCGTCATCAACGTCTTCCGTTGAAATCGTTGTACTAGACGAAAACGAGGCTCCGTCGTTTTCATCTGCAACATACTTTATCTCAACAAATGAAGATAATGTAAGTGAACACTTCAGTTATGTATTGAAGTTTTAAATTATTTTCTTTTTACTTTTAACGTCACAGTAAAATATGTTATAGAGCACAACGGTACGTTCAATCAAAATAACAAATTATACCTGCTATTGAAACAACAAAGAAGTAGCAACATGTTAAAGGAATCAAACACTTTGATGAGATTATAATAAACTATGAATAAAATATTTACATAGAAACTCCCGACAAGAACAACGAGAATGAAATCAGATAAATCAAAAGGGCTAGTATATCGTGCTTTTTGCTTCATCGACGGCACCCTCCGTGTTTCAAAAGATACAGGTTAATGAAAATAAAGGGGAAGTTTTATTGTCAATCATAAACAGTGACGTCACGTTCCGAAATTAGAATAAGTAAACAACCACGGAATCAACAGGTATATTACCAAGCATTAAAACCTTCATTTTGCATTAAGAAATGGAATATTTTTCGATGGGATCATTATGTCTGCCGTGAAACGTTCTTGGAATCCTTATCAGCTTCTCGAAATCCGGTGTTGTGAGTTTGTCTGCCAGTTGTCGACCTCTAGTAAATTGTTATACTGGGACCAAGCCCTCGGATTCTGTGTCAACTACGACATGCACATTCTTATGCTTGGGAAGCAGATGTAATGTTATCCATAAAGACAAGTTCACAATAGAGGAATCGTCACGCTAATCATACAGATTGGTGGAAAGCTGACCCTGTTGGTTTCGTTATAGGAAATACCTACCGAGGGAGGTATCTGGTGTGTCGTGTCCTTTGATTTTAAATATAAAAGACTGGAATATGATGTCCCTTTAAATACTACAGTTTAATGTAAACAGTAAAGCACTAATGAAACATTTCTATACAACCTAATTCTCGACTCGGGTAATTGTAATTTCAGCCTGGAACTGCTCTGCCTTCTGCATCCCTAAGTGTGAATGACCCAGACGATGGAGATACGCACACTTACAGTATTGACGGAGGAATAGATGCAGGTTACTTCAGTATCAACAAATCAACCGGTGATATCTCATTTTCTGCCATTTACGATGTTTTACCGGGACAAAGTCCAAAAGTTACGGAACTCATCGTCAAGGCAACCGATAATGGCGGACTTACGTGCACGACTACTGTGTCAGTTACTGTCTCCAACGTTAATAAGCCTCCAACATTTACAAATATTCCCAGTACCATACAAATTTCGGAGGATATCGCTGCCGGTTCATCAATCTACGCCATATCTACGAATGATCTCGACGGGGATATTGTACAGATTCACATGACGCCCGATACCATCATGACGTCATCTATCATCATATTCAATTCTACACGTACGTCACTTTACAAAAATTGTACACTTTAATTGTCTGCCAAGATTTTTATTTCCCAGACAGATTGTCTGAAATTTTGATTCTGTCCTGGTATTCGATTCAGTGTTATAATACACATATAAAATTGTGACGTTACAATGGCCTTTGTGTATTTATATAATCGCGTAGGGCGAACATGTGACAGTGTATGTGTAGTAGTAAATTTATAATGATAAATTATATAATATAATAATTATAATGACATTCTGTAAAAGCACAATAGACCAAACCTCACCTAATTACATCACTACAAGTCATAAGTAGGAACAGATAGAAACATTAGGCAATAACTTGACTCACATTTAAATAACACTGCACGTGCAATTTTTCAAAAGAAACAAGAAATTGATTCACTCAAGCATTGATTTGAATAGTGAGAACAGTCGTCCGGTTGATAACAGAGTGATGAAGTTGATATCAAAGAGGAACGACGACTGGTGGACTAGTTGTTTTAACATCAAATATAACACTACAGCTGTGAAAATATTAGTTTGAGAAAGGTGATCCTTGCAATTTTACCTAGATAACACTTCAGATAGGTATTTCGCAAGACAGTGACACACCACATACTAATCAAGTGTTCGTACTCGTCGGTTGGACATCCCCTGAATTTACTGGCATCGGAAACAAACACACTGTTTAAACTGTAATAAAATTGGTAATTAAAACTCGAATAGAGTTTGGAGAGAGGACTTGACATTGTCATACTACTCTAAACCATAAATGCGTATCAATACCAGCTTGTCAAAAGGTCATTAGTTTAGAAATAATACAAAAATTAAAGATTAACAATCATTAAGTACTTTTGGATGTAAAACATTTACATGGAAAAGCTTCAAAGAACTTAATGGCATACATGCGTTTCTGTCCCATGGGAAACTTTGAAGAACTGGAATAGAAAGACTCGACAATGTAAAGTATACAGTCGGCAAACGACTTCATTAACCGGCCCTCGTAAAATATATCCATACATTAAAGTGTAAAGTTGAAACCTTATCATTTGAAAAGAATAGATATATAATTATCTTATCTATACACTGAAGGTGAAGAATTTCATTATTATATATATTATCCACTATACGACAGAAAATGTGGTGTTCCTCGCCGACGGTTTCAGCCTTAATTACGAGACTTGCTCCGTTCACAACCTGACCTTTGTGGCATTTGATGGAACAGACCAGTCCATCCACTCAATACTGACTATTCAGGTTACGAACTCCAACGAACCTCCAGTCTTCTCGACATCGTCTTATCACGTCAGTGTACAAGAGGCACTGGTAAGAATAACATCAAGTCGACAATGATAATCATATTTCTTTATCTCGGTGGTCTGAACAATTTCATTCCCTTTGAGGAATTCAGTCCTTCTCTTTCAATTGTTCGATGCTATTACGTTCCGCGTGTCGTAATTGGTATGCATTGTGTGTAATTTCGTTTGCACCTATAAATATTGTGACTACTGTCTGCTTTGGATTCAAATACATGGCAGATAACGCCCTACCTGTATTTTTCAAGTTTTACAGCTGATGATAAGGGTATTCCATCCTGTATCTATAGTGTCTATTCTTCGTTATACTGCCACAAAAAGTTTACAATACTGCCTTGAATACTAGCTATTGAACAGAATAGATATATTCTATCACTGAAAACTGCATCTTTGATGTCATTTATCCCTTATACCAGATTAAGGTAGTACAGAATACACAGAGACAATTATACTTCTACAACAAAAGTATTTTGCATGGAATATCAAAGTACTGACGCGGTTGACTGTACTATCTTAACACTAAATTCGTCTGGAAAACCAACTCCATTTGATAGTATTTCCTTTTCTCTTTCTGTATATTCATTTTCAGTTTAACAAATGAAAAAGACATGACTGTGTATATTTAAGCTCAATTAGAAGCACAATATTGTAAACTATTGGACAATTATACACTAAAAACCTAAAATGGAAGGACATCAGTAACAGATCAGCTGACAAAACAAGCTAGAATGTTTTACTCATCGATTGCATCTGATATAATAAAATCAAGAAATCTATTTAATTATAGGACTGCTGCACCTTCCCGTCTAGAATTTGATTTTCTTTCCTAAGTCGTCTCCTAGACTTCAAATTATAGGCTCTTAGCATCACTGACGAGTCCTTAAAGGACGAAACAGCTGTATAAAGCAGTTTCATTCATAGTTTAACTCTACCGTTACTAACTCTAAATTATCAAAAGGTGCTATTTGGTTTGTGTGTCTTTTGCAAAATTCAAACTCCCCTAAAGAAGTAAAAGAGTGTCACGTTCGATGTGTATTATAGGGTAAATCGAAAACTGGAAAAAAATGAAAATGGACTAATATTTCCCCGGTGCGGTACGAACTGACCGCAATTCCAAAATCATCTTCCAAGGCAGCATCTTACCTATCTATCTCACACCCTGGACCTGCATTCGTTTCGGTGTTGTCCTGTAAAATACTTGTTCTTCATCTGTGGATTCAATAAATTAACTGATAAATTTCCCTGGTTTGATATTGGCAAAATGCAGAGCAACAATTCGTCGAAAGATTTAGTTTTGCCTGTTGTTTATTTTGAAGGTTAAGTTCGCCATTGATGCATGTCAAAAAATTGAGTCTTCCTTTTACTTGTCATGAGAATGTGGTCCGAAGTTGTATTAAATTAATCCTATTGCAACATATACAAATGATAATGTACGCTATTGTAATGGTTTTTCTGAATTTTAGGCGGATGAAGTTGTCTTTCGCGGGTCATCATTTACGGTTACAGACGAAGACACAAGCGACACGTTTACGTATAGTATAGATGGTGGAACAGAGGCTTCCTTTTTTGCGATCAACCAATCTACGGGCAATGTTTTATTTGCTGCGGACTACGATGTATCCCCTTCTGAGAGTCCCAAAACGACAGAACTGATAATCAAGGCAACTGATGCCGGATATCTAACCAGTACAACAACATTATTCGTCACAATCACTAACGTTAACAAGCCACCGTACTTTTCAAACCTTCCTCAGATTGTGACGATTTCAGAGGATAGTTCAACCGGAAGTACAATTTACATCACGTCCGCTGCTGACCCAGACCTTGACACTGTCCAGTTGTTCATGACAACTGATTCGTTGCTGACGTCATCGAAAGTTACATTTAATAATACTGGTAATTAGGAATTATTGTTACAGTGCATCATATCGAACCATTGGTATTATTATCACGGTTAAGACATTTTAAAATACCACTTACTAGCTGAAACTATTGATATGTCTTTAATGCCTTGTCGGTTCTTGAGTTCCCGTTTATTCCGGTTTGGTTATCTACGACTCTCTGTCTCTTGCTCATGTAACAATTTCTTGAATGTGTGAAAAGTATACTGAAACGAGTATAAACAACATTATGGTGACCTTGTTCTCTTTTTGGGAATATGACATTACTAATTGAAACTGGAATTCGTGTCAGTCTTCATATGTTCTAGTTTTATTGAATTTGAATTCGGGTTATGATTCTATTGATATATTGGTATTTTTATTGTTTTAATCAGGTGGGATTTTGACGGTGAATGCGCCTTTTGATTACGAGACGTGCACAGTCCACATTGTAACATTTACAGCGTTCGATGGGACTACTTATTCGAACGCCGCCAACTTGACGATACATGTCACCAATGCCAATGAGAGTCCCGAAGTCGCACAGACGACGTATTTCTTGTCAACAACAGAGGGAAAGGTAAAGAGACTGTCTAATAACCAATACAACAGAAATTATCAAGGCCATTACTTGGTAACTTATTCCTGTGTCGTAATTCTTTTTCACGTGTCATTGGTGTATTTGATTATTTCATGTTTGTATGGTTTCTCAGTTTTTCCTGATTTTCTGCCAAAGTAGACAGATTGAAAACATGGTATTGATCACTGTTTAAGCATAACGGGACGGCCTGAAACTTGGTCGACGTATTCAATTACATCAGATGCTCTTTAACTTGTTTTATTTTTTATAGATTTTATATAACACACACAAGTGGATATCACTTGTCAATGCAACTTTAAAATTAGGTACTACAGTACCAGATATTGAATTAACTGTAGTATAGAGTGGTTTCCTCCTTCTGGGACTCGTCAATAATGCTAAGAACTAAAAATAAAACGATTGCAGTGTCTATGCCAAGGTGAATACAGGTTGATAAGTGTACATATGTATTTGTCACAATCGACATTATATTTCCTAAATATATTAACTATAGGAGAAAATGATTGTTACGTAAAAAGACTAACGTCACCTTATATGTTATGATAAAGTGGAGAACACAGCCAGCGCTGGTTTCATGGACTTATGAACGCAACTTATGGTTTTGTTAATGAAAAGGACATATGATATTCGCAGACAAATCAGATATGTATATGTAGATAATTCGAAAACTCAAAAATGTTAGAATTGATATCAAGATGGTCTTTATAAACAAACTGTTCTTATAAACAGTAACAAACACGTCTTACTTTTTCTACAGATAAATGAAGAACTGACGCTTCCCGTTCCTTTATTTCCTGTAAGTGACCCTGATGGGGATTTCCCTTTGACCTACAGCCTCGTTTCAAACAGCCACAGTCAATATTTTACAATCAATGCAACATCTGGTGTGTTATATTACACTGTGGACTTCATATGTTCTCTTCTGTCACCGGATGTAGCGGTGCTTGTCATCAGAGTATCGGACCCTAATGGAGGATATATAGACACAAATATTCAAATATCCATCACTCATACCAACACAAAGCCAACAGCTCTAAATCTGCCGGCCAATGTAACTTTCCCAGAATCTTTTGCAAACGGCGGCTTCCTGTACACCGTGAATCTATATGACCCGGATGGCGAATCGATGAGCTGCAGATTTCTTTATTCCCCGTCTTCGGCCTTTTCAACATTTGCAATTACTCAGTACGGTAAGGTGTTTAACTTATGTCTCCACTTCATCGTCTTTACTCAATTTATCTATTCGAATAATTTAGTTTTCTTTATTCGAAATTTAGTATGAATTGAGTTTTAATATGGAACTGAGGGATACACTATTCCAAGTATACCACATTATTTCATTTTCAAATGTTACATTTATGTATGGTTGAACGACCAAGTATACGTTATTCTTCATTATACTATGTACATAGAATTTATATTTTCGAGTATATGTTTGCTTTCTTTTTAAGATGGAAACGATTCTATTGGACAAAAGATTGCTCTACAGAAAACTAAACAAATTATTTGCAGCACCACTCTCAATAGAAATAATAAATTTGCATCGTGATTTCAAACTCTATTCAAACGAAAGCTTTCGATAATAATTTTGTTTGAAGTTTGTACAACTAATCCATTTCGCGTTTCATATACATATATTAAAATATGAATTTGGCATGTGATACAGGTTCGAGTCTGAATGTTTCCCTGTCCGAGACGTTCGATTACGAGGTTACCTCCCTTTATACGATTTACGTAATCATCAACGACGGAATCGAGGACTCCGATACGTATGAATTACGAATTATCATCTCGGATGTAAACGAACCGCCATCTTTTTCTGAGAATTTCTACGATGTGACAACACAGGAAGATAAGGTAATCCTGTAGTTAAGAGAGATTACACTTTGTTTTTTTATCCTTGCAAGTATTCTAATTAAAAAAAACTGACACAAACTTACTGTAGCCTTCCGAAACTTCATGAACTCAACATATGCACTCACCTCGCAGACATGATTAGGGCGTCCTTGAATGGCCAAAGAATAACATCAAGTCGACAATCATAATCGTATTCCTGTATCTTGTGTGTAATTTCGTTTGAACATATAAATATTGTGACTGCTTTCTGCTTTGGATTTAGATGCATGGCAGATAACGCCCTACCTGTATTTTTCAAGTTTTACAGCTGTTCTGATGATAAGGATATTTTATCATGTATCTATAGTGTCTATTCTACGTTATAATGCCACAGAAAGTTTACAATACTGCCTTGAATACTAGCTATTGAACAGAATAGATATGTTCTATCACTGAAAATTGCATATTTGATGTCATTTATCCCTTATACCAGATTAAGGTAGTACAGAATACACAGAGACAATTATACTTCTACAACAATAATATTTTGCATGGAATATCAAAGTACTTATGCGGTACACTGTAATATCTTTACGCTAAATTCTTTTGGAAAACCAACTGTATTTGATAGAAGTAATTACTGTTCTTCTCCTGTATATTCATTTTCAGTTTAACAAATGAAAAAGACATGACAGTGTATGTTTAAGCTCAATTAGAACACAATATTGTAAACTAGTCGTGGCACGATTTGGACAATTATACACTAAAAACCTGAAATGGAAGGACATCAGTAACAGATCAGCTGACAAAAAAGCTAGAATGTTTTACTTGCATCCGAAGCGCACAACCGTCGATCTGATATAATAAAATCACGAAATCTATTTAATCGTAGGACTGCTGCATCTTCCCGTCAAGAATTTGATTTTTTATCACTTTGGATTTTCCTACGTCGTCTCCTAGACTTCAAATTATAGACCCTTGGTATCACTGACAAGTCCTAGAAGGACGAAACAGCTGTATAAAGCGGTTTTATTCATAGTTTAGCTCTACCGTTACTAACTCTAAATTATCCAAATGAGCTATTTACTTGTGTGTTTTTTGCAAAATCCAAACTCCCATAAAGAAGTAAAAGAGACTCACGTTTGATGTGTATTATAGGGTAAATAGAAAACTCGGTGAAAATGGACTAATATTTCCCCGGTGCTGTACGAATTGATCGCGATTCCAACCTCATCTTCCAAGGCAACACCTTACCTATCAATCTCACACCCTGGACCTGCATTCGTTTCGGCATTGTCCTGTAAAATACTTGATCATCATCTGTAGATTCAGTAAATTAACCGATAAATTTGCTAGGTTTGATATTGGCAAAATGCAGAGCAACAATTCATCGAAATATTTAGTCTTGCCTGTTGTTATTGAAGGTTAAATTCGCCATTGATGCATGTCAAAAAATTGAGTCTTCTTTTTATTTGTCATGAGAATGTGGTCCGAAGTTGTATTAAATTAATCCTATTGCAACATATACAAATGATAATGTTCGCTATTGTAATGATTTTCCTGAATTTTAGGCAGATGAAGTTGTCTTTCCCGGGTCATCATTTACGGTTACAGACGAAGACACAGGCGACACGTTTACATTAAGTATAGATGGTGGAACAGAGGCTTCTTCTTTTGCCATTAACCAATCTACGGGCAATGTTTTATTTGCTGCGGACTATGAGGTTTCACCCTTTGAGAGTCCCAAAACGACAGAACTGATAATCAAGGCAACTGATGCCGGATATTTAACCAGTACAACAACATTATTCGTCACAATCACCAACGTTAACAAGCCACCGTACTTTTCAAACCTTCCTCAGATTGTGACGATTTCAGAGGATAGTTCAACCGGAAGTACAATTTACATCACGTCCGCTGCTGACCCAGACCTTGACACTGTCCAGTTGTTCATGACAACTGATTCGTTGCTGACGTCATCGAAAGTTACATTTAATAATACTGGTAATTAGGAATTATTGTTACAGTGCATCATATCGAAACATTGATATTATTATCACGGTTAAGACATTTTAAAATACCACTTACTAGCTGAAACTATTGATATGTCTTTAATGCCTTGTCGGCTCTTGAGTTCCCGTTTATTCCGGTTTGGTTATCTACGACTCTCTGTCTCTTGCTCATGTAACAATTTCTTGAATGTGTGAAAAGTATACTGAAACGAGTACAAACAACATTATGGTGACCTTGTTCTCTTTTTGGGAATATGACATTACTAATTGAAACTGGAATTCGTGTCAGTCTTCATATGTTCTAGTTTTATTGAATTTGAATTCGGGTTATGATTCTATTGATATATTGGTATTTTTATTGTTTTAATTAGGTGGGATTTTGACGGTGAATGCGCCTTTTGATTACGAGACGTGCACAGTCCACATTGTAACATTTACAGCGTTCGATGGGACTACTTATTCGAACGCCGCCAACTTGACGATACATGTCACCAATGCCAATGAGAGTCCCGAAGTCGCACAGACGACGTATTTCTTGTCAACAACAGAGGGAAAGGTAAAGAGACTGTCTAATAACCAATACAACAGAAATTATCAAGACCATTACTTGGTAACTTATTCCTGTGTCGTTATTCTTTTTCTCGTGTCATTGGTGTATTTGATTATTTCATGTTTGTATGGTTTCTCAGTTTTTCCTGATTTTCTGCCAAAGTAGACAGATTGAAAACATGGTATTGATCACTGTTTAAACATAACGGGACGGCCTGAAGCTTGGTCGACGTATTCAATTACATCAGATGCTCTTTAACTTGTTTTATTTTTTATAGATTTTATATAACACACACAAGTGGATATCACTTGTCAATGCAACTTTAAAATTAGGTACTACAGTACCAGGTTTCCTCCTTCTGGGACTTGTCAATAATGCATAGAACACAATACTAAAATAATTGCAGTGTCTATGCCAGGGTGAATACAGGTTGATAAGTGTACATATGTATTTGTCACAATCGACATTATATACCCTAAATATATTAACTATAGGAGAAAATGATTGTTACGTAAAAAAACTAACGTCACCTTATATGTTATGATAAAGTGGAGAACACAGCCAACGCTGGTTTCATGGACTTATGAACGCAACTTATGGTTTTGTTAATGAAAAGGACATATGATATTCGCAGACAAATCAGTTATGTATATGTAGATAATTCTAAAACTCAAAAATGTTAGAATTGAAATCAAGATAGTCTTTATAAACAATCTGTTCTTATAAACAGTAACAAACACTTCTTACTTTTTCTACAGATAAATGAAGAACTGACGCTTCCCGTTCCTTTATTTCCTGTAAGTGACCCTGATGGGGATTTCCCTTTGACCTACAGCCTCGTTTCAAACAGCCACAGTCAATATTTTACAATCAATGCAACATCTGGTGTGTTATATTACACTGTGGACTTCATCTGTTCTCTTCTGTCACCGGATGTAGCTGTGCTTGTCATTAGAGTATCGGACCCTAATGGAGGATACATTGACACAAATATTCAAATATCCATCACTCATACCAACACAAAGCCAACAGCTCTAAATCTGCCGGCCAATGTAACTTTCCCAGAATCTTTTGCAAACGGCGGCTTCCTGTACACCGTGAATCTATATGACCCGGATGGCGAATCGATGAGCTGCAGATTTCTTTATACCCCGTCTTCGGCCTTTTCAACATTTGCAATTACTCAGTACGGTAAGGTGTTTAACTTATGTCTCCACTTCCTCGTCTTTACTCAATTTATCTATTCGAATAATTTAGTTTTCTTTATTCGAAATTTAGTATGAATTGAGTTTTAATATGGAACTGAGGGATACACTATTCCAAGTATACCACATTATTTCATTTTTCAATGTTACATTTGTGTATGGTTGAACGACCAAGTATACGTTATTCTTCATTATACTATGTACATAGAATTTATATTTTCGAGTATATTTTTGCTTTCTTTTTAAGATGGAAACGATTCTATTGGACAAAAGATTGCTCTACAGAAAACTAAACAAATTATTTGCAGCACCACTCTCAATAGAAATAATAAATTTGCATCGTGATTTCAAACTCTATTCAAACGAAAGCTTTCGATGATAATTTTGTTTGAAGTGTGTACAACTAATCCATTTCGCGTTTCATATACATATATTAAAATATGAATTTGGCATGTGATACAGGTTCGAGTCTGAATGTTTCCCTGTCCGGGACGTTTGATTACGAGGTTACCTCCCTTTATACGATTTACGTAATCATCAACGACGGAATCGAGGACTCCGATACGTATGAATTACGAATTATCATCTCGGATGTAAACGAACCGCCATCTTTTTCTGAGAATTTCTACAATGTGACAACACAGGAAGATAAGGTATTCCTGTAGTTAAGAGAGATTACACTTTGTTTTTTATCCTTGCAAGTATTCTAATTTTAAAAAACTGACACAAACTTACTGTAGCCTTCCGAAACTTCATGAACTCAACATATGCACTCACCTCGCAGACATGATTAGGGCGTCCTTGAATGACCAAAGAATAACATCAAGTCGACAATCATAATCGTATTCCTGTATCTTGTGTGTAATTTCGTTTGAACATATAAATATTGTGACTGCTTTCTGCTTTGGATTCAAATGCATGGCAGATAACGCCCTACCAGTATTTTTCAAGTTTTACAGCTGTTCTGATGATAAGGGTATTCCATCCTGTATCTATAGTGTCTATTCTACGTTATACTGCCACAGAAAATTTACAATACTGCCTTTAATACTAGCTATTGAACAGAATAGATATATTCTATCACTGAAAACTGCATCTTTGATGTCATTTATCCCTTATACCAGATTTAGGTAATACAGAATACACAGAGACAATTATACTTCTACAACAAAAGTATTTTGCATGGAATATCAAAGTACTGTTGCGGTACACTGTAATATCTTTACGCTAAATTCGTCTGGAAAACCAACTCCATTTGATAGAAGTAATTCCTTTTCTTTTTCTGTATATTCATTTTCAGTTTCACAAATGAAAAAGACATGACAGTGTATATTTAAGCTCAATTAGAAGCATAATATTGTAAACTAGTCGTGGCACGATTTGGACAATTATACACTAAAAACCTGAAATGGAAGGATATCAGTAACAGATCAGCTGACAAAAAAGCTAGAATGTTTTACTTGCATCCGAAGCGCACAACCGTCGATCTGATATAATAAAATCACGAAATCTATTTAATCGTGGGACTGCTGCATCTTCCCGTCAAGAATTTGATTTTTTATCACTTTGGATTTTCCTAAGTCGTCTCCTAGACTTCAAATTATAGACCCTTGGTATCACTGACAAGTCCTAGAAGGACGAAACAGCTGTATAAAGCGGTTTTATTCATAGTTTAGCTCTACCGTTACTAACTCTAAATTATCCAAATGGGCTATTTACTTGTGTGTTTTTTGCAAAATCCAAACTCCCCTAAAGAAGTAAAAGAGTGTCACGTTTGATGTGTATTATAGGGTAAATAGAAAACTCGGTGAAAATGGACTAATATTTCCCCGGTGCTGTACGAATTGATCGCGATTCCAACCTTATCTTCCAAGGCAACACCTTACCTATCAATCTCACACCCTGGACCTGCATTCGTTTCGGCATTGTCCTGTAAAATACTTGATCATCATCTGTAGATTCAGTAAATTAACCGATAAATTTGCTAGGTTTGATATTGGCAAAATGCAGAGCTACAATTCATCGAAATATTTAGTTTTGCCTGTTGTTATTGAAGGTTAAATTCGCCATTGATGCATGTAAAAAATTGAGTCTTCCTTTTATTTGTCATGAGAATGTGGTCCGGAGTTGTATTAAATTAATCCTATTGCAACATATACAAATGATAATGTACGCTATTATAATGATTTTCCTGCATTTTAGGCGGATGGAGTGGTCTTTCCCGGGTCATCATTTACGGTTACAGATGAAGACACAGGCGACACGTTTACATTAAATATAGATGGTGGAACAGAGACTTCTTCTTTTGCCATTAACCAATCTACGGGCAATGTTTTATTTGCTGCGGACTATGAGGTTTCACCTTTTGAGAGTCCCAAAACGACAGAACTGATAATCAAGGCAACTGATGCCGGATATCTAACCAGTACAACAACATTATTCGTCACAATCACCAACGTTAACAAGCCACCGTACTTTTCAAACCTTCCTCAGATTGTGACTATTTCAGAGGATAGTTCAACCGGAAGTAGAATTTACATCACGTCCGCTGCTGACCCAGACCTTGACACTGTCCAGTTGTTCATGACAACTGATTCGTTGCTGACGTCATCGAAAGTTACATTTAATAATACTGGTAATTAGGAATTATTGTTACAGTGCATCATATCGAACCATTGATATTATTATCACGGTTAAGACATTTTAAAATACCACTTACTAGCTGAAACTATTGATATGTCTTTAATGCCTTGTCGGCTCTTGAGTTTCCGTTTATTCCGGTTTGGTTATCTACGACTCTTTATCTTGCCCATGTAACAATTTCTTGAATGTGTGAAAAGTATACTGAAGCGAGTATCAAAAAAATTATGGTGACCTTGTTCTCTTTTTGAGAATGTGACATTACTAATTAGAACTGGAATTCGTGTTAATCTTCATATGTTCTAGTTTTATTGAATTTGAATTCGGGTTATGATTCTATTGACATATTGGTATTTTTGTTGTTTTAATCAGGTGGGATTTTGACGGTGAATGCGCCTTTTGATTACGAGACATGCACAGTCCACATTGTAACATTTACAGCGTTCGATGGGACTACTTATTCGAACGCCGCCAACTTGACAATACATGTCACCAATGCCAATGAGAGTCCCGAAGTCGCACAGACGACGTATTTCTTGTCAACAACAGAGGGAAAGGTAAAGAGACTGTCTAATGACCAATACAACAGAAATTATCAAGGCCATTACTTGGTAACTTATTCCTGTGTCGTTATTCTTTTTTCTCGTGTCATTTTTTTTCATACTCATATAGTTTCTCATTTTTTTTTCTGATTTTCTGCCAAAGTAGACGGATTGAAAACATGGTGTGAATCACTTTCTAACTGCAACTGATAGTTTTCTTAATGAAAAGGACATACGATATTCGTAGACAAATCAGAGATGTATATGTAGATGATTAGAAAATTCAAAAATGTTAGAAGAATTGATATTAGGATGGTCTTTATAGACAAATTGTCCATATAAACAGATAATTACAAACACGTCTTACTTTTTCTGCAGATAAATGAAGAACTGACGCTTCCCGTTCCTTTATTTCCTGTAAGTGACCCTGATGGGGATTTCCCTTTGACCTACAGCCTCGTTTCAAACAGCCACAGTCAATATTTTACAATCAATGCAACATCTGGTGTGTTATATTACACTGTGGACTTCATATGTTCTCTTCTGTCACCGGATGTAGCTGTGCTTGTCATTAGAGTATCGGACCCTAATGGAGGATACATTGACACAAATATTCAAATATCCATCACTCATACCAACACAAAGCCAACAGCTCTAAATCTACCGGCCAATGTAACCTTCCCAGAATCTTTTGCAAACAGCGGCTTCCTGTACACCGTGAATCTATATGACCCGGATGGCGAATCGATGAGCTGCAGATTTCTTTATTCCCCGTCTTCGGCCTTTTCAACATTTGCAATTACTCAGTACGGTAAGGTGTTTAACTTATGTCTCCACTTCCTCGTCTTTACTCAATTTACTGTCTATTCGAATAATTTAGTTTTCTTTATTCGAAATTTAGTATGAATTGAGTTTTAATATGGAACTGAGGGATACACTATTCCAAGTATACCACATTATTTCATTTTTCAATGTTACATTTGTGTATGGTTGAACGACCAAGTATACGTTATTCTTCATTATACTATGTACATAGAATTTATATTTTCGAGTATATTTTTGCTTCCTTTTTAAGATGGAAACGATTCTGTTGGAAAAAAGCGTGCTCTACAGAAAACTAAGCAAATTATTTGCAGAACCACTCTCAATAAAAATAATAGATTTACATCGTGATTTCAAACTCTATTCCAACGAAAGCTTTCGATAATAATTTTGTTTGAAGTGTGTACAACTAATCCATTTCGCGTTTCATATACATATATTAAAATATGAATTTGGCATGTGATACAGGTTCAAGTCTGAATGTTTCCCTGTCCGAGACGTTCGATTACGAGGTTACCTCCCTTTATACGATTTACGTAATCATTAACGACGGAATCGAAGACTCCGATACGTATGAATTACGAATTATCATCTCGGATGTAAACGAACCGCCATCTTTTTCTGAGAATTTCTACGAAGTGACAACACAGGAAGATGAGGTAATCCTGTAGTTAAGAGAGATTACACTTTGTTTTTTATCCTTGCAAGTATTCTAATTTAAAAAAACTGACACAAACTTACTGTAGCCTTTCGAAACTTCATGAACTCAACATATGCACTCACCTCGCAGACGTGATTAGGCCGTCCTTGAATGACCAAAGCTTTTGGTTTGACATTCATCTGTAAAAACAAACCACGTGTTAATTCGTGTTATTATGGTCGTTTCAGAATGGCACTTTGATCTCCAATGTCATCAATTTCGCCGATGAAGATTCAGGAGACATCCTTTCAGTCTCGATAAAAGATGGCAACGGGCATGGGAGATTCTATCTGGACGGATCTGCAAGGCTTTTCTTTCATGTTGATTATGACGTTGATGATACATCATTTCCGGAAATTGTGAATTTGACCTTGGAGGCAAAAGACTTGGGGATGCTTTCAGCCACAACATTAGTGAGAGTAACAATTTCTGACGTCAATGACAATGCACCTTTATTTGGGACAACTCAATATGTCCATTCTACGCCGAACTCGACCGTTGGATCAACAGTACTAACAGTGAGTGCAACAGATCTAGATAGTGGTCTTAATGGCGAATGTGTATATCTACTAAACAATTCATATTCCAACCCTTACCGGGATAACTTTGCCGTGTCTGAATCTGGCACAGTTTTGCTTATGAAGTCGGTAGATAATTATTCTCCCGACCACGTGTTCACCTTTGATGTCATAGTGAATGATAAAGGTACACCACCTCTTTCGTCAACCTCTGCAGTTCGACTTGTAATTACACAGGAGGTTGTTAGTGTAGAGACAGTCACTAGTGCGCAAGTCGCAGAACAACAGGAAGTAGATGTTGCAAATCTTCTAGCGAGACCGGAAATGCTTGGCATGTTTGGGGCTGTTATCGCTGGCATTGTGTTCACAGCAATAGGTAATATCGTCTGTTGGTTACGGTCGAAAGCTACTGGAAAGGAAATTCCGGCTTCACAACTTAACAAGTGGGTATCAATACTAACAGTTAACCTTCAGTCACTGCATTTCCTGACGTATACATAGAAACGAAAACAAAAATACATCTCAAAACATGTGATATATATATATGTATTTATTTCCATTTCCAAAATGTTCAAGGTAACGTACATACTGATTATCATCATCCTTTGCAATTATGTACTAAATTCAATTTTTGTTTTATTTTTTACATCAAATTAGAATAAATATCCTTATAATTAATACCATCTTTAATTTTAGTAATGATGATTAAAACATTTTATCTAAATGTCCAGTTTTGTGTTGTTTCCTGTTTCTCAGGAATTTTGTAAAATGAGCATGTATATAAATTTTGAATATGAATTTAATTTTATTTTGAAATCAGAGCAGTTACAATGTATCTGAAACCAAGGTTAGTAATATAAAAATACTGACAAGGACTTTACACTCATTTGCAGAAAAGAAAAAGCTGATTTCAATTACTCTAATAAGTCATCTCATACGAATATCACGTGAGTAGACACTGTGAAAATGGCATGCTCGCATTACTGAAGTTGTTCTGAATTTCTTGCTCGCAAAATCGGTAAAAAAAATTCATGAAAAAAAAATCCTAAAAAATGTTCCAAGGGAGATTTGTTTGGACAATTACACAGCATGTTTGTAAATGTAGTACCATATGGTTATTCTGAGCAGTTACGTAATTCTCTTTATAGTTGTAAATGCCATAATATGTTAAACTTGTATCCTTTGTAGGAAGACTCCAGTGCCGAACCCGCCCCTTAAGAAGCCGAAGATGCCCCGGTCTTTCTCTATCGACACCCCTGTGGAAGACTATAGCTGCTGGGACGAAGGTACACAATCCACATTTAATGCATTGGCTTACATCATACTGACTAAACAGTCAAAGTATTACGCAGAGAAGTAAACAGTGCATCAGTATCCGAACAACTTATGGTCTAGTTCCCTTCACATTCGGTTCTTGAAATATATGATAATGCTAATTACCTTTTTATTAGTCCCCTGCCGGTGAACCCGGAGGAGATTATAGTGTTTGTCTCCTTCTGTCTGTACCGCTGTCCGTCCGTCCGTCTGTCTGTCCGGATGTTGGTTTCCAGACGATAACTTGAGAACAGATTGATGGATTTGGATGAAACTTCATACAATGGTAGTTTATAGGGCATTATAGTGTGGGATTTTATTTGGGGTCAAAAGGTAAACTACAAAGGTCACTGTTACTAAAAATAGAAATTGTCACATTTTAGTTTCCGGACGATAACTTGAGAACAGATTGATGGATTTGGATGAAACTTCATACCATGGTAGTTTATAAGGCAATAAAGTGTGGGATTTCGTTCGTGGTCAAAAGGTAAACTACAAAGGTCACTGTTACTAAAAATAGATACTGTTGTCACATTTTAGTTTCTGGACGATAACTTGAGAACAGATTGATGGATTTGGATCAAACTTCATGCAATGGTAGTTTATAAGGCAATATAGTGTGGGATTTTGTTTGGGGTCAAAAGATCAACTACAAAGGTCACTGTTACTAAAATTAAAACTTGTCACAAGTTAGTTTTTTCAGACAATAATCTAAGAACGGATTGATGGATTTGGTTGAAACTTGATACACTGGAAGCTTATTAATGATAAAACAAGACACTTCTGATACAGAACAAGTTCTACATTACTTGAAAAAAATAGTGTATTTATACTGCAATTAGATCATGGGACCAACATATAAACTCGGATCCATAGTAAAGGGTTAGCTTATTGCAAATAGTTTAGTAGCATTTGCTCCCATTTGCTTTGCAACAAAACATTGATTGGCTTATTAGCAGACATGTGCTGATAAATACAGTAATTTACGGCAGGGGAAATGTGTTGCATGCAACACTAACTGTAAGCTTGTTTAATTTAAGGAGGAAGGAGAATGGGGGGCTGCCTCATGATTCATCAACGTAATTCTGCTGTATTGATGTCTAGTCCTAGGATAATAAATTATCTTTATGGAACTAGGAGCAAATTAATTCATATAGTTGTCACCGACTTACATGTTATGTAATCCTACATTTGTATGGAAATATAAAAAATGTACCGTCATTTTACTTCGTATTAAGTTATATATACATGCTTCTATTATGGTTTACTTTCATGCGTTCTTTCATAATGTACGTTTGATTTTATATTGGACCTTGTTAATAAATAATTCTTCACTTGTTTCAGTGAGTGAGAGTGGAAAAAGTAAATTATCCCAGACTTCCTCCGACCCCGGAGTTTCTACGTCACGTGTTGAGGTCATTACGCCGTTTCCTCCACATGGGACATCGTTCCACGTGCCTTTGTCACGCACCAGGAGTATAACCCAATACGTGAGTCACATGCCCGGGAGCAGCTCTGCTGGATTTATATAGAATTACACGCCATGGTGACATCCTCTGTTGGAGAAAATGAATTCTTAGCTGATTTGTATTTGATCCTCTTGTGTTTTGTTAATCAAATAGTTATGTCAAATTATCTTGGCTTAAAATCATCAACCCTGAGGACGAATGAGTCAATGAACAGTCATGAAGCACCTGTAAGCGCAAGTACTTAAGTCGATATGCTTAAGCAACGGCCAGATGAATATATCTTAATTAAAATGCAATCACTTTGCAGAAATCACATGTAAGTTGCAGGGCGAAATGTTTTTCTGAATTATATGCTGTTTATTTCGGATTATTAAGCTTAGCATTGTCATATATTGATTTCTTACTTTCATCCAATTGTGACTTTTTGATTTAGCAAAATTCTGGAAAACTAAACGTCATCTGAAGAAAATTACGTATCTCTCTATCTTTTTCAATACTACAGCGTAAAATATACAAACAAAGGAAAGTTTATCTTCACATATAGCAATAACATCGATTTGATTTATAAAAAGATATAAAACCATCATGCGTTTCACGCATGAGATGTTTTCTAATATAAAGCGACACCAGAACAACTTGATGAGTTCGGATATAATTGCTCCCTTTGACGCTTTTATTTGATTAGATAATTCTAAACATCTTGAGAACATTGAGTTGACCCTATTGATTGATTTTTATGGGACTTTTTAAAGTGTGCTGGTCCTCCGAAAGTGAAGCAGTGAGTTTACATAATCTGACATTAAATCTGTGACATGTTTGAGTGTCAAGAAATCTTTATTATAATTATTTTCATTTTGTTGGATATTTTCAATCTTCTTTGTATTTTACAGACATTATATCTGTGATATGTTTATATCAAAATGTCAAGAAATCATAATTTCAATTCGTTATTTTCATTTTGTTAGATATTTTCTCCCTTCATTGTTTGTATTATTCAGATGTATGTAAAAATGATTGACTATATCCTAACGGGATTTTAAAGACGAAAATGAGAAAATCAGATTAACTTGTATTTATTATTATAGGGTTCATTACGTAATTACGTTGTTGCGATGTAAGAAATGAAAGGAAAATAAAATATTTGAAATTATGGTTTTTTGAAAAATCTATTAATTTTAAAGGCTTAAAGTTTGAACGCGAAAGGCGTAATATAAAACATACGAGTTACCTGCCTTTGATTTGGTGAAACGCGAACTTTAAAGATATTAGTAGTTTTACAGTATATTAGCTTAAAGTTTAACACCTATATTTAAAACTCTAATGACACGTTGTTAATTGTACGCATCCCTATCATATGTAATCAAAATTTAGGAAAATCAAAACAAAATTATACTTTATCTGAACCTATATCTCATTGGTCATGCAAATCTAAAATAGAATAAATCAGTTTCATGTTTGAGTGTGATTTACCGCTTGTTTAGTATGTGTATCATCATTAAATATTGATAAATATAAATATATTCCATTTTAGCCCTCCTTCATCAGATCTATTCGCCCTTCGTCAGTGATCCGTTGTCCTTCCATCTTATCGCTATTTTCTCTCTTAGATAAATAATGTAAGTTCACATTTTCCTTTACTTGCGTTCGTTTGATTTTGTGACTAATCAGAAAAACACATTGACGGATATTTAAGCATCTAAGCGTATTTGCTAAACATATCCTTCTTCATATGTTTCGTAAGAAATATTTCTCCCACAGGAATATATTTTGTTGATATAAAAACCTGGTATTGTTTTAAACAGTTACAACGCATTAGATAGTTGTCGGCTCACGCACCAGTCAGGTTGGATCCATGAACATGTTTGACTGTTGGAACTAGTGATCTTTGTGTGTATTTTGTAATATATTTTCTTAAACGCTTACTGTTTATTTCAGTTTCTCTTGTTGAGTTGTTTGTATGTTTCACAAATTTTATTTTTCTATCCTCCAAGAAATTAGAAATTAAAAGTATCAAAGCTGCAAATATATCTTGTCGTTTGTTATCTGAAAAATTCCTTTTCTTGACGATTTGATATTCGTCATAAAAATATCCCAATGACATGAATCCACAATCTGATTTTAATTGTTATGGAAGCCCAATGTGAAAGGATATTGTCCTGATGCCTACTGACCTATTCAGCTATACAGCCTTCTACGTTAGCCTGTCTTGATTTTATGCTTTCTATATTTTTGAAAGTTATTTATTTCTTAAATTGTATTCTTAAGAAATAAATCTTCATACGTTTTTTTTCTCATTGTACGTTTTTATAAAATACTAATTGATCAGTGTCAAGAAACAAAATAGTTTATAGTTTATTACATAAAATTATTTTTACCAAGCATTCCGATGATACATGAGGTATTTTTAGGTATGATGATCACGTCGGCTAATCCATTATATTTGAGCAGCCAATATCTTGTTTACTAAGATTCGCCGCTGGACAATACCCCCACCCCATGTATCAACATCTGATGGATTGATGAGTGTACTTTAACATATCATACTACGCTACTGATCAAAAAATAAATATTTTGTTTTGTTTACGAGTATGAAAATGAGCAAAATATTTTGAGAGGGGCGTAGCTTATAATAATGTATTTTTTATAACAAACATATATCTTGAACATTAGTTTCCTGGTGTCTGTTGTCATTTTATCATATAGCTAAAATTAATTACAATCATGATTGATTATTTTACGATATAATGACACATTTATTATAAGGGGAAATATATATAAAGATTCACATGAATCCAAATCCATCACAGATATAAAAATAGGATACTGTATCTTTGTCGTTTTGAATTATAAATACATAGATATTGTGATTTTGCTAATGTACTAATCATCATCGCTGAAACAGACATCATTGAAATTACATATTATATTGATGATAATAACATGTTTCACGTGGTATTAGTCAATACTTACCAATAATTGGATTCCTTACCGATGCCAAGGTTCTTAAGTACACAAACATGTCAATGCAAGTATAGAATTAGATACAGTGGAGCCATATACCTAATTTAACTGCGTCTTAATTATGTTTTGTCCTTCTAGGCCTGGTCAATGATCCAAAGGGACATATTTTGGGATATTATTATGTCTGAATTCGTCGATCTGAATGTCAAACCTCAGATTTTGAATCATTGCATGTGTATATTCTGGACCTTATCGCTATGCGAAGGCGTGAAGGTTACGACTCGTGTCTACCATCTGCACTACCGACACTGATTATTAATAAATTATCTAAGAGACAACTGAGGATAAGCAAACTTGCTAGAATTACCATGAAATTCTTTCATGATGCAGTTCATGTTCATATCCTCGTCTGAATAAGTGTACCCATGAAAATGATTGCTTTTACATAGCGCGAGACACATTAATTTTATAACTGTTTACTGGCTTTAACCAGTGAACTCATATATGGTTAATTCATTTTTGCTAACTTTTAATTTAATCGAGACTATTTAATGATTTCATGCCCTAAATGTCAGGTTAACTTTTAATGAGCGAAACTATTTTATTATTTAATGCCGTAAATGTGAGGTTAACTTAAAATATGAACAAATGCCAAAATGTCATCTATATTCGAATCCTATGAAACACCTTAAAAACACGAGAAGAAGATAAGGTTTTCCGGAACAGTAAGCGTCTGCTGCTTCATCGACGACACTCACCATGTAAATCCCTATCAAAGTAAGAAACCAGTAATCAACAACGGAACCATCGGATATTAGATGTAGTGAAATAATCATGACTTGTTCTCCTACGTGTTTTTATTTACTTTCGAGAAAAGAAATATGGATATTCAGTCCTAGACCAGTGATATATTTACTTTCCGACAGTCTGATCGAAAGCAAGAGGTTTCAAGAAAGCAAATAAATCTATGTAACACTGATTACACAAACTCACATCAAATGAAAACCATCGTCTTGAGAAAGCCGTTCTAGAACCTTTAAGTTAATGATTAGCTGGTTTAAATATCTCGTTTCGAATTACTGTCTTACCATTCATTACTTTTTCTATTCGACATGTTTAAAATACCATGTTTTTTATCTATAAGACAAAGATACAAGAATATCTAAATAAAAATATTAAGTATGTCAACCATGAACAAGAATACGACCCTCTCTCTTTTATATTTAATTCCTTAACTTATCTATTCAAAGTTACAGTCAACTGTGACGCTGTTCACTCGATAAGTTCAATGAATAGAATATGTATTTAAAGAACTCATAATAAGAAGTCAGTTCTTAGTTTTAGTCATAATGGTTTGAAAATTAACTTTACTTCACACAAATACTTATATGTGTTGTGCGTGTAACTTTAAACAATGATAAAAGCGAAAGTAACGGGATTTCATATTCGGAAGCCCATAGACTCGTTCATAAGGATGCAGATATGTTCTGTATATTGGAGTGGGTATTCTGAAAGCTGTGTACCTCAAGATACTGTCGTATATGAACTGAGAGCATAATACAAGTATGTATACCGCATCTCCGTGCATTTTAGCATCGGAGGATTTCCAAAACTGAAGAAAACGTTTGTATGTTTTGTTACGGTGGTTGTCATATAAGATATATAATCCTTTCAAGTAGCATCAACTTCGATGATTATTTTAGGTCATCTGACCTATTGCTATCATGCATCACCATGCGCCGTCCGCTCTCCGTAAACTTTTTATTTAAAACTCTGATGCCCTGGCGGATTTTGACCAAATTTCCTCTTAAAAATCATATGGGGAGGGGAATTATTTCCTTCATTCAGAAATAAGGTTCGACCCCTAGGAACATTGGGATGGTCCCCAAAAGTTTAGTTAGACAATATTTTCTGCACAACGCTACTCTTTCTCAATGCTTGAATGGATTTCAATTCAAATGTTGTCTAAAAAATATGTACATGTGGGCAATCGATTCTTTCATTCAGAAAGTTTATTTGACCCCTTGAGACTTAGGGGAGGGGACCCAAATGGGGAAGTTAGTCAATATTTTTGCTGCAGAATGCTACTGTTTCTTAATGAT